GGTGGCCACCAGCCCTGTGAGTTACATCCTGCCTTCCGTCTGTGATACCGCACAGTGGTCACCAGCCCTGTGAGTCACAGCGTGCCCTCCATTTGTGACACTGCACAGTGGCCACCAGCCCTGTGGGTCACAGCGTGCCTTCCATTGTGACACTGCACAATTGCTTCCCCTTCAGAGGTATTCCTAGTAACACTCACCGCAGGATGGGAACTTGGAAGCTGTGGACGACCTCCAAAGTTGACATCTCCTGGTTAGGAAGAGCATGGACAGTTACTGCCATGTCAGCCAACACCACCCAGCTCCCTGCCCTCGCAGCTCCACACACATGACAGGGACAGGCCACCACGTGAGGGGTACGCACACTTTCCTGGGACATTTCTTTTGATCCTACTTTACTTTTTCACACAGGAAATTAAAACAAATTAGTTTCTTTTAAGTTAAAGCAATCAGCTATATTCTGGTTCATGATATACAAAATTAGAGTGATCCGACATCATTTTAATAAATTAATAAAAATAAGGCCTCATCTAACCTAAATTTGCAATAAGCCAAATTTAAAAAGAGGCTGATTGTGACCGTTATTTCAAAAACAGAGATTCTAATGTCTCAGTAACTCACCCTGTGTGCCGATTTTTTGACAGGGAACTGTAAGAACTCTTATCAAACCGTCTGCTTTGTAAGAATAATGCTCAACTAGCTGAAAGAGAAGAAAGCAAGAAAGTGCAGTAAATAATGAGCTCAGGAAACAGCGAAATCATGATTGAGAGCTGCTGACTGCCCTTTGGGCTTTCAAAGTGACCCAGGATATTAAATGCTTCTGTTTGCAGACAGTCCACTCTGCAGGGGTGTGGGGAGGTGGGCACACAGCTAGGGACTTCCCTCTTGGGCAGGGGTCAGCAGACTTTTTCTGTAAGGAGCTAGATAATGACATTTTAGGCTTTTGTGGCCTTCACACCATCTCTGTCACCTGGCCCTTATTTATTTATCTACAACCCCTTTAAAAGCATAAGAACCGTCATCTTCAAGACTGTACAGGAACACGCTGAGAGCCAGAGTTCATCTGTGGGTTTGCAAAGCTCTGCCTGGTCTAAAGAAAAGAATGTCAAAGTAGGGTAGTGTAGAAATTACCATCTCTCATAAAAATAGTAGCAGAGCCTTGGACTTGGGGTATAGTACAAAGGTACTTTCCAGTGCTGTCAAGATAAATGAATGGAATCGTGCACATAAAAATGTAAGGTATTGCTGGCATTTTGATGCACTTGCCTAAGCAGTGTTTAGAAAATACACAGTTAGAAATATTTAATTAGGGCTGAAAACTATGATTTACCAGAGGAGCCAATAAAAATAGTAAAGGGTCTTGGGAAGGCCCTTTCCAACAATTAGAGACGTTCAACACTACACTGAGTGCACAGCCTTTGACACTGTGAGTGGCTAGCGTGTAGGGTTTCAGGGGCCTTAAATGCCAGAAGGCAACATTCCCTGCGAATGTCCATGGTGTGCTCCGGGCCGCTAGTACAGGAAAGGGTGAATACTGTTTCAAGTCAAGACCATCAAAATAAAGCAAAGAATGTGGTCGATAATGAGAAATGCTAATGAGCCATAAAACAAAGGACAATGTTAATGCCATGACTATTGTTAGAATATTATAATACCTGGCATTCAAAAAAAGCAGTATTTTTTTTTTCCAATTATAGCATTAGGAGCCAAATCACACGAGCCAGTCGTTACTTGAAGAGCTTCAAACGGACTGAGGGTCCGTGGTCTCAGTTTTTAAAAAGACAGGACTTTGACTTTCCTTGATATCGACCGAACGTGTGCCTCCTGCCGGGCCTGGGGGAGGACCCACGAACATGCCCATCACGTCCCTCTCCCACGCAAGTTCAAGGCGCTGCTGTTCTCCAGAGACACAGAGTCAGCTGCTTTTTCTCCCTGTCTCTGAACCCACTCCGGTTTATAGGATGCTCTGCTAAAATTATGCACAAAGTCCTACTGGTACTGGCCTTTCCCTTCGTGTCAGCCAACGTAGCTATGACGTAAAATTAAGACAAGCAGTTTGTGCTCAGTACAGATCCACAAAAAGCAGTGAGGAGCATTATTTTTAGTGCTCTTTAGCACATAATTAACTTTCGCATTTGAGTTGTTTCCGAGTTTGTGAACAGCTGGCTCAAGAACAAGCCCCTTGTAGACCAGGGCTCCGACACTCCCACACGAGCCACGCACGGCCTGGACTCCAGGAAGCACGGCCTTACTCCCTAAGTTGCCCTGATTTCCACAGGCAGAGGCTGGGTTTGCCACGAGGCAGGCGCCCAACGTCAGCACGCCGTCAGCCTCGCCCAGCTCCGCAGGCCGGGCCGCGCCCAGGCCTCGTCCCCTCCATTCTGTGCGCATCTTCCGAAAGGCATCTCTGCTCTAGCCAGAACATCTCAGAGAGAAATACTTTCTGGGTCCCCGCGGAGGGTGTCCTGTTAAACTCTGAACAGCCCCAAATGAACATCACCTCATGGCACTGTGGGCTGAGGGGCCTAGACGAGGTATGGAACCTTCCAGAGCCTCGTTCACCTCCCATGGTGGTCCGTGGACCAGTGCTTCTCAAACATTTGAGTCAGCTGGAGGTTGAGAAGCAGGCTCTGAGGGGCAGGTGGGGCGGGGACCAGGGGCTGCTGCTGGTCTGGGACCACCAGGCCACCACGAGAGGGTGCAGGACAGGAAGCCCAGGTGCCCCGGGCTCCACACACAAGCAGGGGACAGGAGGACGGGTACCTGCCAGAGCGTGTCAAACTTCTTCCCGTCGGGGATGGAGAGCTTCCCCGTCTTGTCCTTGTCGATGCGGTAGTGCAGCACCTTCCCTTCGTGCAGCAGGCACAGGGCGTAGGAGCCGTTGTTGTCTCTGGCCCTGATCCTGCAAGAGAGGACACGGCCGCATCGCGCCAGGCCTGCCGGACCTGTGGGGGGAGCCTGGAGAAAGTGCCCTGGCCAGGGCGGCCAGCAGCCCATCTCCAGAACCGTCAGCTGTGTGAGGCAGCCTGTGGGCCTCAGGGGTCAAGGGCTTTGTCCAGCCTACCCAGGAAGGCCAGCTCATGGCCCGGGATGACGCCGGCAAGCTCGCAAAGAGGGGATGCTGGCAGGTTGGGCTGGACCACAGCTGAGGCCCAGCAGGCCCAGGCAGCCCGGGGTGGCGGTCAGGAGAGTCTGGTGCCCAGCGCCAGCAATGCTGCTCAGGGAGGCCAGCACATGGGACGGCCTGGGGCCCTGAGAGCCTGGGGAGCCTTCTGGACTCACCTTTCCTCACTAGGGTCTGCATTTGGGTCAGTCCCACAGATGGGCAGCACCGACACCTAGCTTGGGGTGCAGCTGGCGGTATCCGGTGGGCATTTTAACAAGGAGCCTCCTGGACCATAGAGGGAGGGATGTGCTAGCTCCGTACCGGCCGTCTTCACCACTCCCGCTCCCCCAGTTGCAGGGAAGGGACGGCAGGCCAGCAATCAAAACCTCATGCAGATGATGGCCCTGGCCGATAAGTCCCCAGAAGGAGGAAACAACATCCACTGTGGGGTGAGGGAGCAGTGGTGAAACCAGAGCTGACCAGCCCCAAGGCTCCACTGTCACTGTCATTGTGGGTGACCCTCAGTGCCACCCCCATCCTGTGTTCTGGTGACCTGAGACTTATAAGTCTGGCCACAACAGAAGAACAGTGCACAAGAGGAGACCTCTGATTTGCGGGTGGACAAGAGGCTCACAAGGGACACCTGTAGGATCTGGGGAGGCTGAGGTCCAAGCGGAGGCCAAGGGCAGGAAATGAGTATGAATCCCCCAATTTAACTTCTTTGGCATCACCACTGCAGCCCTCTTCTCCCTTTTCAGCAGCTCTCGCCCTTCAGATCACAAGACAGAATGGTGAGTCTTGAAAGTACCAGGAAGCCTCTTCAGCCCCTGCATTTTCTAAAACGAGCAAGCTGAGGCCCCAAAACACCCAGCAACGTGCCCAAATGCGCCATACTCAGGGCAGAGCTCAACTGTGTCCAGCTGCCAGGGGCCACTGCGTACTGGGGAAGTTTCTGATGCCTTCTCCCAGTTGGAAGAGGTCAGATCCACGGCCACGAGAGAGGAGATGGACTTTAGAACGTGGCCACGCTTTCCTTTCCCTGCCACGGAGACTCACCTCAAACAACTAACCCAAGACTTGAAAGCTGAACTGTGGCACAGTAGGTGTCTTTTCAAGCAGCATGTGGCCTTGGCGGTGGACAGGCCCTCCACACCACGGCGCCCAGGGCAGCTGGCAAGGGTCCAGGGCACACCCTGACTCTGCGGTTCCCCTCCTGTGAAAGCAGCTCCTTCCTCCCAAACCAACAGAAACTTGGCCAGTGAAAGCCAGGAGTTGGTGACTGTTAAGCCAAAATTTTTTTTAAAAATAACCAAACCATACAGTAAAACATATTTTTTACATAAAGAGAGAATTGAGTCTATTTTATAAAGAAGCTATTTAATAGTGTGGGACTCTTGAGGTCTGCTCTACCTGTTCTGTATGCATCAGTGGCTGACAGGGTGGGTGGGAGGTACAAAGAGCCACACAAATGCCCAAGCATTACGAGTGGACGCACATGCCGGTGAAAGCTGGCCTTGGGGGTGACGATGAAAGGCCATAATAAGGTGTTCTCCGTGTGTCAGTCTTTCACGTGTGCAACCTCAGGGGGACAGAGGGAAGAAGCGGACCTGAACCCTGGTTTCCGTATTGCTCCACTTTGTTCCTTGACTTTTTTTGTTCAAACTGAGACGGAGGATCAGATTGCCCAGGAAGGTGGTACAATCAGCGTCGTTAGAAATCTGGCAAATACAAATTAAGCCCACAATGGAAATACCACTCCACATTCTTCAGACTGGCAAAAGTTAACGATATTAACAATTCTAAGTGTTGCTGAGAATGGTGAGCAACAGGAGCCTTCCTAGGCTGCTGGCGGGACCATAACTGGTTTACCCGCTTTGGAAGACAATTTCAAATTAGCTCCTGAAATTGAATCTACTGAAGCGCCCGTGCATCAAGCACCCCCCTCCTAGGCACAGGTGCGTGGCGCTGTGAGCCCAGACATGTGCCAGGCTGCTCCTGTGCCATCAGCACTGCACATGCCCTGCACAGCACTGGCCTCAGAGGGGGCACAGCGCAGGACTGCACACAGTATTATATTGTGTGAAATACTGCTGTATTATACATATATTAATTAATGTTGTATAATACATTAATTAATGCTATATAACACAACATTAATATGTTGTATTATACATATTGTAAAGCAATACGATGAACAAACAGCAGCTGTACAAAGTATACATGAGTCTCACAAACATAAATATACTCCGCAATGCCATACATACGAAGGCCCAAAACAGACGACAGCAGTTTTGTTTAGAGATGTACACTCAGTTGGTAAAACTAAACAAACAAACACAAAACAACACAAAGCAAAGGTATGATGGATACACGAGTCCAGGAAGTTGTGCCTGCCGGGAGGCTGGATGGGTGTGGGTGGGGAAGAGGGGAAGGGTCTTCTGCCCACGCTGGGCACGTCTTATCTCTTGACTGCATGTGTTGGCTTGATAATCATCCATTAAGTTGTACCTATTTGGTTGTGTACTCTCGTATTGTGTTTTATGTTTCACAATAAAAACAGTATAAAAAGAGAGCTGGTACCAGGAGGAAACAGCACCCCTTAATTTGGAAAAGTGAGCTCTTCAAAGTCCCCCAGCTGTTTGAGGCCCACCAAGATTCCCTCTCTCTGGTGTGCTCCTCCAGGCAGCCTGGGCCGCTCCGCACCACAGGTAACCAGCAGGTAGGGCTACCGACCGTGCACTTGCAGCCCCTCGGCAGCTGGCAGGAAGCGAGAGCAGAGAAGGGAAACCCACAGGCCCCGCATCTGGAGACCAGCAGGCTCTCCCCGGCAACCGCCAGCAACCGTGAGGTATCTGCTGGCTGCAGCAGATCCTGGGCTGGGCTATTTTTAATGTGGCAGCAGAAAAGCTGGTTTGGAAGCTGAAGGCTTGCTCCTCTGGCTGGCTCCTGTCACTGAGGGCTCTCCCCTTGGTGGCAGCCTCGCATCCCACCCAGGCCCCACAGGCTCCCAGAGGGGGCGAGAACAAAAGCAAGCCTTGGGCTCCTGTCCGGCTGGCTGCCTTCCACTCTTGGGGTCAGCTGGCTGATCACAGAAGTCCTTGCATATTTTCAGAATAATTTTTCCCGATGATTCTCTTGAAAGGTGCACACTAACAGCTTGTGTTCTCCTATTACAACGCCTGGGATTTCCAGGGCTTGAGCTCAGATGAGGCTGAGGAGTCACCCTAGCTGGCCTCAAGGCAGCTCCTGACTCCCTGCAGCATGCTGCGCTCTTGGGGTGGGCAGTCTCGGCCTCCAGGACAGTCTCGCACCTCACAGGCACCAAAGCACACACGGAGGTGGGGGAGGCGAGGTGTTAATTCTGCTGAGGCACAGCCTGGAACCGCTGAACCCCTTCTCTATCCTTCTGTGCCCTCCTGGGGGAGAGAGAATGTGTGGTGATGATGGCTAGGCACCGAGGGCCAAGTGAGGACCCAGGAGATGGTGGGATGCTCGAGGCAGCCTCCTGGGGCATTACCTTGTATCTGCTGGGCATGTCCTGCTTGCTTAGGTGTTCTCATTCTCCCATGCCTCTGTCCCATGGCAGAGTTCCATTGCTGGGCAGACCATCAGAGTCAGGAAGGGAAGGAGGGTGCCTGGGATCTGCCGTATTCGAGGATGTGCAGAGGATGAACCATTCACTGTGACCAGGGTGGGCGCACAGGCAGACAGAGACAGGTGACACTGGGGGCGGTGGTCTTTATCCAGAGCCATCTACCCAGCACTGGCTTCCCAAGGAGAGCTAGGGCAAGGGGAAGGAGAGGAGTGGGAGCCAGTGTACCCCCAACAGTGTGCATGCCGGTAAGTAAGAGGCGGGAGAAATGCCAGCTCTACTGATCCATGAAAGACCAAGACAATGCAACTTTGAGTGCTTCTGTCGTGCACTGCAGCAGCACTGGGGCACAGGTGCACTCCACGCAGATGATGAAAGCACGACCAGTCCAGGACATAGTCCAAATCTGGGGCCACGCCAAGCTGTTCTTAACAGATTTGCCTTTTGAAAACCTATATTACAAATGCCCTCTCACTCGCTCTCTCTGCTGTAGCTCACAAAGGAGGAATGAGTTCACAAGTCTTCTCTTCCAGCTTCAAGGAGCCTTTGACCAGCACAGTGCACTGATGTTGACATGAGCCCACGACTCCCTTTGAACGTTTAGCTTCAGATGGGCCATGACTCTTTGTGCTGACCTATGGCCACAAAACCATGTGTATCAAATAAAATGGCATGCTTTGATCACCTGCAGTGGGTGTGAGAGCCTGAGGGATCACAGCTTCTGTTGTGCCATAGGGCGCTTGTGACAGCCAAACACAGTCTCATGCTCTAATGAACAAGCAGGTTTTTTCTAAGTCCACAATTCAATTTTGAAATTTAAATATAGAAAAAAAAGTGAGTTGAAACTTGAATAGGGGAAAGTGAGTGGCAAACGAGGGGAAACAACGCGGGTTTGGCCTCTGGCAGTACCAGTATCAGCATCTTAGGCTGGCAGGACAGAGGGCACCTGGACATGGCCACCCACATTAGAGGGAGGATCTGTGTAGAAAAAACTCCTTCAACTCTGGAGGAAAGCCTTCCCAGCACAGCACACTCAGGATTCTCACAGATGAATATCATTCAAACACGAGTTCAGAAAAGATCACCCAGAACATAAGGAAACATTAGTTAAGGGGAAAGGGGTAGGTAGGAGGGGAAGAAATAGGGATTTATGTCCCCTAAAACTTTCCATATTAGAGTAACCAGATATGGAATATAAACTATT